GTGAGGTAATGTTTAGGGGATCAGACAGTTTTCTGAGGGAACTAAGGGAGGATCAGTCGACGCGAACCGAGTATAAATAGAGAGGAGTGAGGTAATGTTTAGGGGATCAGACAGTTTTCTGACGGAACTAAGGGAGGATCAGTCGGCGCGAACAAAGTATTAATAGAGGGGGCTGAATTAATGTTTAGGGAATCAGATAGTTTTCAAAGGGAACTAAGGGAGGATCAGTCGACAGAGTATAACAGAGTACAAAGGTTGGGTGGGTGGGGGAACTGTGCAAATTTTACTTAGTCTTATTAAACTAAAGCATCTGAACAAGACAGATATCGAAAAGATTACACATGGAAGAAAACGAAGATTTTATTTTATGTGAAGTTTCCCTTGTTTTTGAATTGGTTGGTTTTCATTATCGACCAGCTTTAGAAGTAGTGCTTAACTAGTATCTTGTAGGTTGGAGTCTGAGTCCGGCTAAGCCTGGTTTTTATTAATCTACTTCTCTGCAGTTGCTTAAATGAGGATCATGTCTTTACATGGTAACAAGTAACGTCACCACCCCGAAGTATGGCTGCGTTGCCCCCAGCTTTGATCTAAGTTTAATCAAGGTTTTTAAATGTACTTTGACATAAGTTTTAAATCTTGGAGGTTTGACGGCCCTATTATAAAAACCTTTCTCAAACGATCTTCATGTTGCGACTGCTTAGCCGGGAATAAATATCCCTCGCGCAAGTTCCTAACCTAGAGCAAGTCTATCTTTCTATTTAATTTTTTTTTTTAAGGAACGCCGCGCGAAATGAAGTTGCTTTTGAAGTTAACCGATGGTAACTTTGGATCTATCAGGATTAAACATTTCAATCCTGCTACTTATATGAGATTAAGTTTTTCTCAAGGAATCATACGTATTAACAACTGCAGATTTGAGAGGTATACATCCAAATCAATAAGACTCAGGTCAAAAGCTGGGGACGATGGAATATCAATTGGAAGCGACGGAACTTGGGGAGACCGAGCTAGGAGGCGACATCACCTACACCTTTAACCTTATTTTCACCTACATGTCAAGAGGGTCTCACTATGGTTAACTGATAACCGAAAAACGGCCAAACATTTAACCGTTAGGCGTAAAAATTGACAAATTTCAGCCGATAGTCTTAGAAAAAGTTAACCTTAGAAGAATTTCTGATCAGAGGAGTGGAATGATATTAACCCTTAGCCGTAGATGGCCAAAATTTTAACCGTTAGCTGTAAAAGCCATCACTACACTGAGAACCACCGTCGATCTCTGTCAAATAATATTTATTTTATTAAAGATTATTTATTTAGTTCATATAAGTTTATTTTATGACAGAACCAAACGACTAACCTTAATTATTGCTGTTGCCGTCTTTCTTTCTACTCCCTTGCATTTCTTGACATGCAAATATTTTAATCTTCTACTTGGCACTGTCAATAAATATACATTTGATTTGAATACGTGCACGGCTATCTTCGGGTAAGTAAGATAAGATAAGATTATCGTTCAGAGCCATTACATTTTACAGTGGATTTTGATAATATGAATGCTGTGTATTGAACGAAGGTAATAGAAAAGCGTATTCATTTCAATTACTTGGAAAAAGCGTTCAAAAGCGTTCAAATAAAAAGGGGAACACTGAACGACCTTTAATTCATATGGGTATTGGACGAACTTAACCATTGCCGAGGCTGGATTTGGTAAGACAGAAAGATGGTAAAAAAGCTATCAGCAGTGACAGTTATTGTTTGATACCAATGTTTCATCAACAACAGATAAGAATTCTT